AAGAAAAATATTCAAATATTCTTTACATTTGACAATTATAACTAGAATTAAAAAAGTTTACTCACACAATTGTTTGAACAGTGCTAAAAAAATATTTTTTTTTTTTCAAAATTGATAAGGAATTTAGTAGTTTTATAAACAAAAAATAAATTGGATGGAAATCGAAACGTCTAGGCTGATTCGTTCACGACCACCTTTATTTGCCCCACTGTGCGTCGCTACGCACGGTGGTTATTAGATAGTCAGTTTACAATAAAACTCAAAGATTTATTGAGTTAGATATATGTACATATATGTATAGATTTTTTTTAATTGCTGGGGTGATTTCCTTGTTAATGCGAAACTCTATACGAGCTAAGCAAACATTTAATTTTAGTCCCAAGCGGGTTTGCTTTTCAAAACAACTTAGAATTCTAGCTTTGCTAAAAAGAAAAAAAACAACAATTTTTTTCAGTCTTAAAACGAATATCGGAGTAAATTAGATTCCAAAAAGATTAATTAACGAATTAAACTTAAAACTATATTTAAAAGTTTACTTAAGAACCTCCAAAGCAACGGTCACAGATCATATATTTATACCTTTCATGAGCATGAAATGGTATTATAACTTTGGTCCGATGTTTGTAAGTACCAGAACAAAAAGAGATAGACCCATTAAAATGTATACTTATATGATCAGAACGTCGAGCTGAGTTGATTTAGCCATGTCCGTCTGTCCGTCTGTCCGTCTGTCTGTCTGTTTGTATGCAATCTAGTCTCTCAGTTTTCGAGATATCCGGATCAAATTTGGTAGGTGGGTGTATTTTTATAATGTATTAATCATTTGTCGGAACCGGAAGAATCGGACCACTATAACATATAGCTCCCATACAACTGATTGTTCAGATATGAGATTTTTCGTTATAACTTCTGCATTTATGCAGCTACGAACATGAAATTTTGCAGTACTTGCACCCATTATCAACAGAATACTTACAGTGAAAAGTGAAGTCACTATAACCTATAGCTCCCATACAACTGATTGTTCAGATATAAAATATTTCGTTATAACTCCTCCATTTATATAGCTAGGAACATGAAATTCCGCACTGTTTTCAATAATTATTAACAGAAAACTTACGGTGAAAATTAAAAAGATCGGGTAACTATAACCTATAGCTCCCATACAACTGATTGTTCAGATATGAGATTTTTCGTTATAATTCATCCATTTATGTAGCTAGGACCATGAAATTTCGCGCTGTTTTCACTCATTATCAACAGAAGACTTACAGTGAAAATAACAAAGATCGGGTCACTATAACCTGTAGCCCCCATACAACTGATTGTTCAGATATGAGGTCTTTTATCATAACTCCTCCATTTATGCAGCTAGGAACATGAAATTTCGCACCATTTTTGCTCATTATCAACGGAATACTTACAGTGAAAATAACAAGGATCGGGTGACTATAACATATATGTATCTTCCATACATCTGATTGTTCAGATATGGGATTTTACTGTAAAACTCCTTTATTTGAACAGCTAACACCGATAAATTTCGTAAGATATTTTATAAATAATAATACAAAGTCTACTGAGAAAATCGTCAAAATCTATGCTGTATAAGCTTTATCTCCTATACCACTGATTGTTCAGATACCAGTTTTTGCGATATATCTTCTTTATGTAGGAAACTAAACCCAATAAATTCTGTTACCGGTTTACATACCGATCACATAGCAGTGAAAATCACTTAGATTGGTGCCATATAAAGTATATCTTCCATACCTCTGATTGTTTAGATGCGATTTTTTATAAGTATGTAACTCCTCTATCGATGTATGCAGATGTATTCAAAAGCAGTAATCTGTCAAAGTAAAATTTGCAGATGTTCATGAAAGGTATGAAGCCTTCGGCATAGCCGAAGACAGCGCTGCTCTTACTTGTTTTTATGTAAATAATAGCTATCAAAAATTCTGCAAAGTTTAACCACGTCAACAATTTTCCTTGTACAACAAGATTTTTGGATGTAGATATGCATAAATATCTGTTTGTATTTTGGATTGTTATGAATATTTTCCATATGCGAAATTAAAAAAAAATGATATACTTTCGTCAAAAAGTCTAGCTTTTTAATCAGATTTCAAAGAAAGATTTTAAGTATGCGATAAAAATTTAATAAATCCAAGTTTCAAACTTTGCGCAAAATTAAAAAAAAAATATATACTTTCGTAAAAATTTCGAGCTTTTTATTTAATTAGATTTCAGGAAAAGATTTTAAGTATGCAGTTGTGTATACCTTAGTGCAAATTTGAAGTTGCCGGGAATTAACATTGTTTTTTAGCAATTTTTTTTTTGTTGAAAAAGTCACTTATTTTGTATCGCATTCACTGTAGATCTTTGTATAAGTTGTTATTTTGTATGTACCACGGCGCCCCGCATATATTGCGTAATAATTTTGACTGTAGTCTCTGTATTTCGTATCTTCGTGTTAAAAATCTGCAACTTGTTTTCAAGACTCAAGCTGGATTTATTCCTTATAATCCATTCAATGCTTACGTCTTTTAGTTTTGCTTGTCCAACTTTAATTTCGATATGAGTTTTCCAGGTTAGTCTTCAATTGAGGTCATGCCAAGGTATTTCACAATATCCCTTTGGGGATAGATTTACCGGTTGTTTGTAGAGGTGGGCACGTCTCGTTCTTTAGTGTGAACGTCGTATGAATGTACTTAAGCAGGGATCACACGATTTGTACATTTGTACAGATTTGTACATTTTCACAGTAACATAGAGGTGTTGTTTGGAAAGTTGTTGTTGAGCTGAACTCATTCTTGGCACAAATTTCTAGACAACGCCGCTCTGTGGTTGCCAAATATACAAATGTACAAATCGTGTGATCCCTGCTTTGCTCTCGTTCACTTTATTGCCTCAATCGCCAAGCCATTTATCCACTCTTCGCAAGCTTTGGATCTGAATGGCTTGAGAGTATAGCTGTATCATCAGAAAACGTAGATATAGTCAGAGACTCATCTATTGGTTGGTTCTTTGTGTAGATTACGTACAGTATTGCACCTAAGACGCTGCCTTGAGGACCGCCCGCTTGTATAGAGTGATTTTCTGTTCAAAAGGCATTCTGTCTAACTCTGAATTTTCTAGTCATTTCAATTTGTATGTATATAAGGCACTCCAGTCATGCCTTTTCAAATACTTGGTAGACAACTAAGGACACCCCTCTGCAATAATGTTTTTCTTCAAACGATTCTCTAATTTTAGAGACTAATCTGCTAAGCCGCTAAGAGCTAGAGTGGGTTGCAATTTTGTCACGAGTAGTTTTTCGTAAATTTTTGAGAATGCAGATTAAACAGATTGCCCTGTGAAACAGTTAGTTTATTATTTCGCCTGTGATGATATCATAACCAGGAGCTTTTTTAGTTTGAATATCACTGGTATGGGTATTTATTAAATTGTTGAGCTTGAACCGAAGGCAATTAGTGGTTGGGTTTCTATTAAATAGTATTGAAGATGTTTGAAGAAGTAGGGCTTTCATTGGGTCTGAAAGATACTGAGCAAAATCTGTTGCTTTTTTAATGATCTGCATAGAGCAAAAAATTAGCGGAGGAAAAATAAGTACTACTTACTTGGTTAATAAACAAAACGAAGAAAAACTGAATGAAATTCATAGCAGGCTAATTTACTAGTTAAAAAGAACAGAAGACACTTTATCAACAGCTTTAGGAAAATCTCTCGGGGTATTCGGGATTTTTTGTATATGTTCTAAATTTTAATCGAATCGGGCTGTAAATACGCGACACCCATCGGAACAGTTTGTAAAGAAAATTAATTCTATTTATGTATGTATGTAATGTACGTTCTGAATTTGAATAAAATCGGACCGTAAATAGGTGTTTAGAGAAATCTCGACTCCAGCGGCATCTATCGGTTCAGTCGCTTTTGAGTCTATAAAGTGCATAACAACACACACGTCGTTTTTATATACATACAAGATTAAATAGAAATCAAATAATATTAGTAACTAAAACATATTTACGTACATACGTATGTGTGAATGTAGTTTATAAAAATAAGTTCTTCTTCTTTTTTGGCACAAGTTAACTACTTGAATTACAACTACGTACTCAGTCAAAATGAAGAGGAATTTGAGAAATGTTGAAAAATATTGCGGCTTTGTCAGCTAGAAATTGCTCGCAAGAAACTAAATTTCCTTGATTTTACCCATGGATTGTGTGCCCCACAGGTTCCGCCTCTTACGTGGTTCATTGTAAATATTTTCGTAAATAAATAACGTATGATGATTTTATAAACTTGTATCGCTCCCACATATATTTTAGTTAAATTAAGGTTCTGAGCTCAGCAAATCATCGCTTTTTCAGCCGACTTCAAAAAAATACGAGGTTGCCAATTCGTCGAAATATTTCTTTATGTATGTTACAGCATAACTTTGGGCCACGTGAACCGATTTCAAGGGGCATCCCATATTAATTTGTTTTAGATCCGATTATTGCATCTTGAAGAAATTAACGGTACTCCTAAGTTTGTAGTTGAGATTTGAAATCGGTTGCGTTTTTTGCTTGGAAATTATATATGTACTTGTTTGAATTTGAAAATGTTTTGAAAATTTCATTGATTCTAAGAGATTTCTATGTGAAGCACCGTTTTTAATTAACCAATCATATTTTGTATTTTCCTCCAGAAATATGCTCTTATAAAATATACAGTGACTCAAACAAATGACTACGTGTTGATTTTTTTTTTTAATATTTGTAATGTTTTACTGCTAAATTTTTTTTCTATAAAAATACCGTCCAAGTTTTAACCAAAGCCATATAAATCACAGCTTAAAATTTTTGTATAAAATTGAACAAATTTTCATCAAAATTTCAAGTTTTATAGCCCATACAATTTTAGTCTGATGAAGTTCAAGTTTCAAATGGCTAAAAAATCGCGTTCATTTTGGAGAATTTTTTTTTGGGGGGACGGGTTTTTGCAATTTTTTCCATATATGTAAGTATAAATTTCTTATGGTATAAAGCGCAGGAGACCGTTATCAACAAAATTTAAAAAAATCAACGCCAGTTTTTGTAAATTGCACTTGTTATATAAAAAAAAAGCCGAGAAAGTAGTCTCAAAAAAAAAAAAATCTCAAAAATTAGCGGGATTTTTTAGCCGTTTGAAATTTGCCCTTCATTGGACTAAAATTGTATGGACTATGAAACTGCGTACCCACAAATATTCTAAAGATTTATATCAAAAAGTTGAAATTTTGACGAAAATTTGTCAAACTTTCCTCAATTTTGTACAAAGTTTGAAACTGTGATTTATATCGTTTTGGTTAAACCTTGGACGGTATTTTTATAGAAAAATAATAAAAAAAAACTTGCTCAAAAAACATTACGAATACTTAAAAAAAAATCAACAGGTGGTAATTTCTTTGGGTCACTGTATATTCCTTTAAGCCGCAGTCACCATACACCACCCCTGCAAACCATTTTTTCAGAGTATTCTGAATCGTAAAGAATTTTTAAAGAATTCGGAAAGATCCCATCCGATTTTTTGCAGAATTTTCTAAAATGAAATAAATTACGCACACTTCCATTCTTTTACGAAATTTCGGAAGAAAATCGGTAAAGAAATGAAAATAATGCTGCTATGTGAAGAATTTCTTGCAGACTTTTTCAGAATTTTCTTTATTTTTCGTACAGAAATTTCTTTACGAGTTCGTGTCAACCACTTCATATAATTTTCTTTGAAGATTCGGAAAAAAATCGTTACAGAAATCAGATACTCCTAAAGATTTCGGGAACTTTGGTTTGCAGGGACTTCAAAACTGCATAATCTCAAATTTGTATGCACTAAAAGCGTTCATTTAAATACACATCCACCGGATCGAATAGTTTTTGAAATTCTTAAGATATTCTATATAATTTCTTGACCACAAAACAACACTTCACCTGCACACGCGCTTCACTCAAACTGATCCGCAACGCCACTTCCTCACGTAGGAACACATCCGGATAGTGAGTTTTTTGGAAGAGTGACTCGAGTTCTTGCAATTGCTGCGGCGTAAAAGTTGTACGATTACGACGTTGACGTCGCCGACCGAACATGTATTCGGTTAAAAGATCTCCGGGTAGAGGTGATAAGAATGGACCCGCCATTTTTCCACAAAGTTCAAATTTAATTATCACAAAAAAGCGCGCTACAGTTTTACAGCCTATTAGCGTTAGGATATACAGAATAAATCCTTTAGCTGCTGCGCGTTAATGTTGCAACTAGGACGTTCGCGAGACGACTGTGCGCATCCTTAGCCATTGTTTGCCTTTTATTATTGCCCCGTTTACCACTGATGTGTCCTTTATGAGCGCTCATTTGCAAGCACAAGACGCATTTACAGTTGTCAGAAGGCAGTAAGGAAGGATTAGTGGCGGGTGGGTGGCAAGCATCTGAGCAATGTTGGTTGGGTGGCAGTGATTGCAATACGCAGAGATAATTAGTTGTGCCAGCTATGGTTTGGCTCATTGCCTATGAAATTGAGTACTTTTAGCATTTATTTCTAAGCAAATTTTAGCAACAAAGCTTACGCATGTAGTTTATGCTTAGTCTTTTATTCTCTCTCTCTCTCTCTCTGTCTCGAGTTGAAGGAGCACTAGCATCGCCGCAGCTGTTCGTATACCGCTCTGAGAGGTTTTTGTATGGTGCTAAAATCGCATTTCCTTCACAAGCACCACTGTATAATGCAATTTGTTTTAAAAATTTTTCCCAAGCGGTGAATTGCGAGCAGGGTTTTAAAGTGGTGGGGAGCAGCTCTTCTTCTCTACTAAGTACATATCGTCGCCTGTGTGTAATGTAATATGTAAAATTCGTTTAGTTGATTATGTTTTTGTTCACTAAACAAACTTCGCGACAAAGACACAATCAGGCCGATGCTGAACAGAAACTCCCTGGGAGTTTTCTCTCTTTGCCCTTTCCATCTATCATGAACAAAAATTCCCAGAGGATTTTTTATATTAAATGGCGGAGTTGAGCTCTCATAAAAGTGTCAAAAGTGTTTACTCCCTGGTAGTTAATTATTGGAGGATTTCTTTCTCGAGAGTGAGTGTCGAAATACGGCTGGGAATTATATCCGGATTGGTTGAATATACGGATAATCGAATATCTATTAAAAGTTCTGATAAGAAAATTACCGTAGTAACGTTGACCGGATATCCCTATAGAAAAATTAACGGATATCCGGATTTTATCCGTATACAACAATATTCGAATATCCGAATACATGAATAATCCCGGCCGTTCCAGAGAGTTAGGCAACTTACAGAAGGTTTCAACACTAGAGTGAACTCCTGTAAAAACAACCATGGGGGCTTAGTGACCGCAGTCCAGAACGTATTTAAATTATGAAGGGAACACCTTTCCCCCCTATTGAATGGTAATAGAACTGAAAGTAGAGGAGAAGACGAACCCGAGAACCAGTCGATGATGACGGAGTCCATGTCCCACTGCATGAATATGACGAAGTACGAATAGCAATTACGCGGCTGAAAAGAAACAAAGCTGACGGAGCAGACAGCTGGCCTTATCAGTGTGGCTTTAGTCCTGACAAAACCAGCGTAGACCAGGTCTTTAAAATATTGCTGCTTCAGATAGCACGAAAAGAAGTTGTCTCTATGTCAAGATGTCTGAATTTGGTATCTGTTTTAAAATGGCGAGGAGCAATGCCAACAGCTCCATCAGCATTGGGAAAGACCTTTCCGAGCTGTTTGACAGGGCAAACCCCTTTTCAGGGCTGCCAACTATCCTTAGCCATGAGGTGCCAAATTGAGGATAAAAACTGCCAAAATGTGCCAAAAGAGAAATAAAAGTGCCAAAAAGGTGGCATTCGTTTTAATCCTTCCCATTTACAATAACACATTTTTGAAACAAAAATGCCAAAATTAGATAAAACTACTGAATAATCGCTTAGGATTTTATTACGCCAATCAACAACAAGAATAATATCTTGAAAAGCTTGAATAAGAGTAGAACATAATATGAATAATTTTGATGGCTTATTCTAACAGAAGACTAACTACATCAGGTATTTCAAATGCCTGGAAGTGTTTCGAATGATTCAATACTACTTTTTCGCAATCCACAGCTCACATTACCTTGCTTTTGTACTCGCTCTTCCACTCTCATAGGAAGATAGAATGAAAGTAATTGATGCGATACGAAGAAGAAATGATGAAATTAAATCAGAGAGTGAAGGTAAACAGAAAACCTGATGTTTATGTTGTGATTTGTTTAGAGGCTACTGAGCAATCTGCCGGAGAGCAAGTGTTCAGCTCGGCTGGGGTGGCTGTGAGTTCGTCAAATTATTTTACTTTTACATTTTTTTCGAATATTTACTTGCTTGTTTGTATTTATGCACACACTCACATTGATAAATAGGCGTTTAAATTTTATTGGTAAACACGAGTAATAAATAAATATAATTTAACAACAATAACAAATAGGAAAATACCGGACAAAATAGCGAAGTTGGTGAAGATCCTTGTGTGGGTAATGAAATTCAGCAGCATATAAAATTGAAACAACCAATGAAATACACGCGCCGCTAAAGCACAATACAACAACACAACAACAGCATTAATAGCATAACAATAAAAACAACAAGCAGAAATTGAAACTGTGGTGCGGGTGTAGTTTACAGGTTTAAGCAATTACAATGAGCGCAATGAGATAAACAACATTGTGGGTGCAGCAGATGCAGTGAAAGCGGCCGGTGGGTGGGTGGCTTGGTGGGCTGGCGGTTGCGCCCTCAGGACAGCATTGAGAATGTATTGTTATTATTGCTATTGTGTTTCACTCCAAGAACTGTATTGTTGTGCGAGCATCCTGCCGCACATCCTTGCTGTGCATATGTGTGTGTATGAGTGTTTGTGTGTTTGTGTGAGTGTAAAAGCGTGCTCAACTGTGCCGTTTTATAGGTGTAAATGTATTTGCGACTGTAAGTTAAACAAATGAAGGGATGTAATTTTCTCATTTGCACGTTTTGTTTCGTTGTTGTTGCTGCTGGTTGTTTTGCATTTATGTAGGTATGTGTGTCTAAGCAGTATGTAGGTATTTGCCTGTGTTGGTCTTTGCTAAAGCATATTGTATTGTTGTTTCATACCTTGCTGTAGCCTCCCCTACTGCCGCTACGTTTCCTCTTTGCCTGTTGGGTGGGACGATTGTATGAATGTATGTCTAATGGCTGGTTGGCGGGTCACCGAGGAGTAAGGGGACATAGCGCTTGCGCTAAAATTATATTTATTTATTATTTCAACAACTGCAACGGTGGCGGCTGACTGCAGCTTGGTGCTTTGTGTTTGTGTATGGTTGTTGTTGTTGTTGTTGTTGTTGCTGTTGCCGTTGTTTTGTGCGCCGCAATAGGCGGAGCGGCAGTGGTGGATTCAACAACATTTCACAATTGAAGCCAATCATAAACGAGCAACGTGTTGTCCACACGCGCGCCGTCTCAGGGGGAGAGATGGGGGGGATATGTTGATGTACCGTAGAAAGATCCATGAGAAGTGTTTTTTTTTTGGGAAGCGTAGAGGCGCGCGCGCTTTTCATTAAAATTATGAATATTGTTTCGCTGCTTCCCTTTTACTATGTACGGTTGCTACTGGTTTTTGGTTGGAGCTGCTGCTGTTCTCCATTTTTAATTTTGTAATTTGATGTGCAGCAACAACAACAACGACAAAAACTGTATTTTACAAAACAATGCAGCCAGAAACTCATTAGTCGACTAACGGGTGACGGCCACAGTTGCACGATGTTGTGGATGGATGGTGTTGGTGGTGATGGTATTCATGTGGGCGGCGGTGGTTGGTCGTGTGGCTGGTTGGTATACCATTTGACTGGCAGCTGATGTCTCCTCGATGATGGTATATTAAGCGGAAGGGCTGTGAGAGAGCGGTATGATTACGTCAAGGATAGAACTTAGGTGTTACAATAATTTCTTGCTTAGTGCCGTTATTGTTTTAGTGCAACGAAAAAATTATTACAGTTACGTCTATTATTGTAGTTTAATGGATATGGAATTGCCGGATTACATTATACATTTCGTTTTGCGCGAAAGGGATTATAATTCATTCAAAATATGTATTTTATAGTATTTAAGATTTTCAGGATGAGCTTGGTATTATTCCTAAAGTTTTAGAGACGATTCGTTGAAAGGAATCTTCAGCGACGCATTTAGAAGATTTAAGGGCAAGTTCTTAAAAATCCTTAGCGACTCTTCTTATGTGATTTATAAACAAAAAATTTTATGATTAAAGAGCCAAGTAAGTCCATAAAAACATCTACACCATGGGTACACCTTTATTTTCTTCTAGATTCAAAATAAGGGCATTCAAAATTAAAAAAAAAAAAAATTGGGTCGCTACCAGTGTTTCCAAAAATTTAAACTTTAACTCGGCCTGTTTACGAATTTGTTTCAACAATATGCCAATTTTAACAGTTTTCAAATTACTTTATCTTCGAAATTTTACAATTTTTATTTATTTAAATTTTGTTAAACCCTGGTAGCGACTTCTAAACATTTATTTAAATTTTCGTTGGTGTGTTTATTTTGTACGTAAACAAAATAAAGGGTTGCCCCATACTAAATTTGGATGTTGATAGTTTAAGAACCGCCCTATTATACATATATACATTTGGTTTAGGACCATTGAAATCAATAGAATAAAAATCCGTTGCAAAGATTATTCCATTTCGTATGAACTTTGAGGCTGGTCTTTAAAGATGTGGTAAAGACTGCAATATAGTAAGTCTTGAAAAAAAGTAGTAAATGTGCCTGTATTTTACTGAAACTTGCAATAAGCCTCATCCTGAGTTTCGCCCGAAAACCTATTCACCCGAAATTTTTCATCCACTCGTAATGAATACACATAAGCGAAAAGTTAACGATTTCGGGTGAAAATGAAACTCAGTGAAGAAAGAGCGAAGAAATGTAATGAATCTTAACCGATTTAAAAAAAATGGTCTGCATCTTAGTTTGAGTATCTGCAATCGTGGTCCTGAAAAGTTATTTACGGATCGATCGAAGCTGGATGGGAAGATAGGTGGAGGTGTCTTCCGCGAAGAACTCTCCAGCAGCCTGAAGTTTAGACTACCGGACCATTGCAGGGTCTTTCAAGCAGAGGTGGACGCAATAAAAGAGGCTTCAGATTGATTGCTCTCTAGTGTAACACCTTTTAAAGAGCTGGAAATTTATTCCGACAGCCAAAGGCTCTTTGCTCCTTTCAAGCCGGTGCATTCGAGAACGGTGAGGAGGTGT